TATATATATATATATATATATATATATCAAATTTTAATGATCGTTCGGAAATGTTTACGAAGTTTACAAATGTAGTCCCAAAAATGTTCGTAATATTCTAGGGGCTGGTTAACTAATGTGACCAAAATTTGATGTAATTTAACATATTTTTCTCAATGAATTTATAATAATAATAGTAATAATACTAATAAATGAAATATGTGAATATTTAAGAGTATAAATAAATATTACTGGCGTACATTTTTCATATTTCACAAAATTAGGTATTCTTGTGACCAAATATTTAAAATTTTATGTTATTCCTAATGATTTTTTGCGCAATTTATCTTCTCTTCCCATATCCATATTTAATGAAATCAATAACTACGATATTTCTTGAAAATGAGATGTGCCCCTTCAAAGTTTGAATTTTGAAGGGTTAAATATTTATAAATAAAAGTACTTATTTTGTAACAAAATATTGTAGTATTTTCCTTAACCAATTGTCAGTATTGATTTCGATAACAAAATTAACATTTTGTACCAAATTGTATTTTTCGAATACCTTTTGCTTTTCAAATATCATCAAATATTTGCGGCACAATTAGCACTTATTATTAGATCAACCAAATGGCAGAAGTAACAGTTGATTTGATGAGCTAAACGTAGTTTTCGGACTGAAGAATTTGTCTTGAAGGTTTACAACTTATAGGTGGCAGGGACGGATCCAGCTAATATTTTTTTGTGGGGGTGACATCGTAGATTTTTGTTGAATAATAAACATATGTGTTATTATATTGTATATTATTTATTTACTGCAGATAAGATACTACACAATATTATTGTTTAAATAATTACATAATTCGAACATAAATTAATATTTAAATCAATTTTGCAAATAAAGGAAGGCATACGAAAACTCAAAGCCTTTTTGGAGGCCATGACTTCATGCCCCCCTCCCCCCGGGTCCACCAGTGCTTAGTGGCTTATACTTATTATGAAACTGAATTTGTCACATTCAGACAAAGCATGTAAATGACAATTTATTTATTGTCAGAGTTAAGTAGAAATATTATTTGCAGTAGGTTGTTTATATTATTGCAAAAGTGTATTAAAATGTTTTTGCATACAAGTCACAATGCCAAGAAAATATCTAGACATTTGGATTGTAATTTACGAAGTTAGTAGCACATTTAACACTGACCACTGTGGACCTCAATTAATCATCATCTACTTTTTCTTGCATCTAATTTTTCGTAACAAAAAAATCCACTTTTGTCGTCTTTGTTCCGAAGGTTCAATAATTTTATTTCCCCGATTCCTTAAAAAGAAGCATGGAATCTAAAAAGCTTACTTTGTCTTTCTCGCCCCCTCTAGTCACAACTGCACTATCACATACACGTTGGTTAAAGTGAAAATTCATATTTATTTTAGAGAAAAATTAACTCCCTTCGAGAAAGTATAGCTACACACAATAAAAACGTTTTAAGTCCACGTAGGTAAAGGAAAAACTTGCAACGAAGAAAGATCTCAATGTAGTATAAGAAAATCGACACATATACTGTATTTTAATAATGCCCGCGGCTGAAAGACCTGTGTTCTGGACATCCCAATGAAGCAGAGAGTAAGGGTATACCATGATGCACGAAGTGTGGTGTTACGTTTTATGGCAGTTGATTTGATAGTACCACAGTATATGTATAATAATATATTTTACTGTGGTAGTACTACCCTCTCCACGTCAAACGACTATCCCCCTGCTCGTCATGCATTTGCGAGCAACCACGGAAAATAAATTCTCTTCTTGTGTGCAACTAAAGAGAAAAGAGATCCGGTTCATTTTGAAAGAGCGGTTCCTTGAACGGTTCTTTGAGGTGAACTCTTGAGCGACTCGTGACTCCTGAATCGTGAGTGAGCGGACGGACAGCTCATCCGGTCTGGTTGACGGAACGTAGAAGTGTTGAAAAAGTTGTCTTGCACATGTAAACGTATTGTCCTTTAAGATAAATATTCAAAGCGTTTTTTTCTATCAGGGTCAGTAACAGACATGCTCATTTGTAATGTAGTTTACATTCCAATTGATAATGATTGTTAAATGAATATTGAAATTTGTGAATGATTAACACGTCAACCGCTCTTGGTTTATTTGACAGCAAATGTCTATTGATTTGCCGACATTAAACAATCGAGAGAAAAAAGGTCAACGTTCAGCGTACTTACCCGCTTGCAACTGTATAGATCAGCATGGCTTCGTCGACGGTATGTTGTATATGTTGCTTTCGTGTGTGCGTGTGACGTGTAAACACAATGTCAGTAACTGATGTTTATATAGACTTCCATTTTCTGTGCATTCATTAAAATGTATTGTGGATATAATTGGGTTAATGGTCTAAAAATGTTTCACGATTTGTCCTGTCAAATTTGTTCAAAAACTAAAACTAAAATGGGTTTTGTTTTTTAGTAACATGTAACAGTGTTTTTCAACAGTTACATACTCTTTAAACATTCAGTTCTTGGATTTCCTTGCATGAATGTAAACGTAAGACACTCAAAAATTTAATATCAATTTACTCTTTTTGAAATGAGTAAATGCTAGTTTTGCATGTGTAACTTTAAAACGTCTTGTTGAAGGCACCACTCCTAGATGATGATACATTAGGCTTTGGAGAAGAAGAAGAACCAAGAAACGGGAAAAAATTAACGTAAGAAAATGTTCTTAAACTAGTTTCCTGTAAGAGCACTTTAAATATATACTGTTGTATTTTTGTTATTCATTAGTGCACCTTGTAAACTATTATTCCACTTTGTAACATTTTCCACCTATTGTCCCTCTGTGTGATGTGAAAGAATCTTTTCTTACTATTTTTTAAAATCTGCCATTTGGCCTAAATTTTTTAATGTATTGTACAACTAGAAAATAATTGTTTCAACAAGTGATTTTTGGAATTGTAATGTGAGGTATGAGAACTACAATGGCCTATATGCCATGTTCCACTGTGCAGTTAGTCTGGTATTGCTCTCACAGCCACATATTAACATTAAAATTTAATATTTTTAATAACTTCAAGTATTGAGCTTGAAATAGATATTGACAGATAATTTGTTTTGCTCATGTTTTGGATAGATGGAAAAATAATTTATTCACTGCTCTTGGATTAAGTTTGAAAATATTACATTGTAAAGGATGTTTGAAGTATTTGATTTACATGCTCCTCTAGTACTCGCATCAAAATATAGGTTTTATGAACTGTCAAATTAAATAATTCCTGTTTAAACAATTTAAATTGTTTGGATTTGGGAAGTTGTGTTTGGATTGTATGTGCTGGAAATCAGTGTAATTATTTTATGAATAAAAAGTGTTTGTAATGGTTTGTGACATTTGGTAGCAATATATTGATAAAATATGTTGATGTACTTATACAATAATATGGGTGGTTTGATAATCCTGAAGAAGGCTGTCCATTGTGTTAATGAATTTGATCAATAGTATCAATCATCTGAACAGAAAGTAAATTTATGTATCATACAATAACAATGCAGAAAAAGTATTTTGAGAGAGAGTTAGTCTCTTATCATTCAGAATTGTTGTTCGTAAATAATACCTTCCTGCTCAAGTTCAAACTAAGACTTGGTTCTAGCTACTAACTAAACTAAGTTGTAGCACTAAGACAACAAACTCATTGTGACATCATTCTTTTTCGTGTAGCAAACAGGGCAGAGCTGCTTGAGAAATGCTTTAAGGAAATATGAACGTTTGTTTTTCATATTACTGCCTTGTGTTAACTGTGTGAAGATTTTTATTACTAATATACACATTTTTGTATCAAATGTGAAAACGTTTAGTTCATTTGTAATCACATAGTACTATGTTACTGTTTGTATTGTCCATGTCCTGTCCTGCATGTCCATGATACCATGATAACCTTTTATTGTATGCAGAATGTGTACTGGTTCTTAATATTTTGTATTACTTTAATTTTAATTCTAGACTTGATTATTGAGATATTTTGTTTTCTGTTGCAGACATCCATTTGTTACATTTTTCCATTTATTGTTTCGAGTGTCTGCTGTTTTAGTATATTTATTGTGCAATTGGTTTAAAATAAGTTTTATAACAAGTTTTGTAACAGTAGTATTACTGCTGTCAATGGATTTCTGGACAGTAAAAAACATTACAGGTAATGTGATATGTACTCTACTCGTTATTTTATTGTTGTCCCTTCTCAAAACATTATTTGTAGTTTGTTTTGACTACATTTCAGGACGATTGATGGTGGGCCTTCGGTGGTGGAATTATGTTGATGATGATGGAAAATCACATTGGGTTTTTGAAGCACGAAAGGTTTGGTTTCTTCTAAAAAGATTTATTATGGTATTAATATTACATATGTTGTTTTAATAAGAGCTCATCTGTCATGTGAACCCTCTTCCCAGGGAAACCAGCAGAATAGAATCAACCCTTCTGAATCCCAGATCTTCTGGTTGGCATTAATTTTATGTCCATTGCTGTGGTGTATCCTTTTCCTGACTGCTCTTGTAGGATTATCCTTTACATGGGTGGTATGTATTTTATTTTTAAAGTATGAATGTAAATTAATTTAACAAAATGGGGAAAAATTGTATTGATTGTCACATAGAAATATTGAAAGTATGATGTGTAATTGTCATTAAAATCATTTGAAATGTGAACCTCTGTAACTGATAATGTGGTACAGATTTGTTGACAGCGTTTCCAATTTGATTTGGGAAATTTGATTAAGAAACACAAATTTCTTTGTGCATGAACAATACAGTAGACTCACTATTATCCGAGGTTCCAGTTTAACTGATTAGTCATCAGAAAATAAAAAGTCTTGCGAGAAATGGGCACATGGAAGAATATATTAGTTGCTGCAGAAATAGCTAGCCAGTGCATGCTAGGCAATGCTGTCACCAATTTTAGAGATATTAAGACTTCCTGAATTCCATAATTGTTAGATTCACTCATTAACTTAGATAATGTTAGTTCACAGTAGATGAAGTCTGGATGTTGCATGTGTGCTGTATGTGTTCATTGATAGTAAATTATAGTTATAAAGAGAATTGATGTCTTTCACTGGTTTGATGAAACTATATTCCGAGAAAAACTAATTATTTTGAATTTTTTGTAATGAAACGTGTGTATGATATATAGTACATGGTTTAATTTATGTTGAAATTAGTTGTAACTAATATTGTAATTTTTGCAGTTGCTAGTATGTATTGCTCTAGTTCTGAATGGAGCAAATTTATATGGCTATGTGAAATGCAAGATGGGCAGCAATCAATCCATTAGCCGCTCTTTATCTGATATGACGTCTGATTTTTTCCGGAAGCAAGTTATTCAAAATGTAAGTATGTGCTAATACCTATAATGTTGTGTTAATATGATCATTGGTTGGTGGGACTCTTGAAAATCACACACACAAACACACATCCACACTTCTCAGAATGAGCATAACAGTAAATCGGGTGTACATTTAGTTGAATGCAGCTTTGGCTTTTTCTTTTCGTAGTGTAAGTTGTGGAAAAGTTGTCTGTGGATATCCATTTTCTTAGGTTAAAATCCAATAAGACCTTTGCTTTAAACATTTTTCTTAATTTTTCTGTGTTATTTTTAACCAAAATCTAGCAGTAATTTTGTCTGATTACCAGGGACTGGATTTCAACGTTCTGTAGATGCAAATTTCCTCTTTTAGCGATGAAGTGTGATCACTTGATATGTGCATCATGAAACATCCTATGTTTAATTATTAAAATGTGATTTTTTATGCATTTTATCAGTTATCTTTATAACCATAACATTTCTGTAACTACCAATGATAGTGCATAATTTGCTTGAAAACGTCTCCAGGAGTCTCTCATATTTATGTACTATATGTAATGTAATAGTTTTAATTTTTAACATTGTAATTTTTGTTTCTATTTACATGGCTCATTGTAGCTAATACAAACATCCTGCATCTGAATTATCAAGAAAAAAATTATTATTCGCTATATTTCATACGTTGAGTCCATTTTGAAAACCAGTAAAGCTGATGAACTAATACACATGTCTTAACAGTAACATAACATACAGATAGCCTATAATTGCTAGGCCCAAGAAGATTTTAGCTTTTTTTATTTTAAAAACTTTTTTGTAAACTTTCATGTACCTTGAGGTTTTCTTAGTGTGTATGGAAACTGATAAATGCTGAATTGCTATGAAATTACGTTGTTTTTATTTGTTCATGTAAGCTAGGTAGTACCACAATATAATTATTTTTTTCTTCTTTTCCTTTTTTTTCAGATGTCTTCAATGATGAGATCTAGTCAACAACAGCCAAGCACACCTGCCCAACCAAATATAATTTGATCTAGGACTCTCTTCAGCCATAACAATAAATTAAGTGTAATACATTTAGTTGAATAAACCTTCACCTTTTCTTTCTATTTCCTCATCAATTTTTTAAAGTTAGAAATGAGAAAAATAATTTTGTTGTTTATATTCATTGTTAAACCTTTTTAATTTGTGTACAGCCTTATTGCTTACAATCGGAATGAATGAATGAATGAACGTGTGAAATGAAGTTAATGAATAAATTATTTATAGAATTCCAATGTTTGAGTAAGAGTTTTATTGAATTTTGTACTTCTTCCCTTTTAACAGGTTCATGGCGTGCATATTTGGCTGCCTGAACTATGACTTTAGTTCCTCATCCCCTATCTTTGTATTGTAGAGAGAGTATTTTAGTAAAAGTGCATACAGTAAAAAGTGCTGCTTTTCTACAGAAAAACTTGCTTCATGGATGCTTGATACCAATAACATGTATTTTTCTCGCTCCATTTTGAAGAAATTTACTTTTTAAAATGTTTAGTTTTGTCAAAATCAACATGTAGCTACATAAAAATTTATTTCAGGATTCTGTCTGTCCGTTGTGACACACTAGTACCTAAACTGTACCCAGCATTTTGATGTGAATAGATATTCGATCTGAGTGATATGGCCCTACAAATTTAAAATGGATATTTTAAGTAGAGTACTTCACAAGAAGGCATTTTAAACATGTTCGTATAAAAGCTCTAACTTAAGTTTATTTTGCTCCCATAGAACATGTTTATAAAATGGTGCAGGTCTGGTAAACATTAAATCCTCTGCGTTTTCGAAAATTGCAAATGTTAACATTTTTTTTCTTCCTCTTCCAAGTACATTATATATGTAGTATACATTTCTTTCTTAATGAAATCTGACTTTCAAAAGTTAGATCTTTAAATGATGTCTAATATTTTTTCTAAACAAGTAGTTTTCACTTAATACTGAATGAAATAATGGAAATTAAAAATAAATATACAAGTTTTTCTCAAAGTACTCCAGATTCTTTCTGGAGTGATGTAATATGGTATAGGTCTTATTTTCACTGCATATCCTGGAATTATGAGAATGTAAATGTTCTTTTCTTTTCTCTTTTTTTTTGGTAAACTGTCTTCGCCTTTAATATTGAAGCTAGAGACTTTCTATAATAATAATGAAAAATATAAAGGAAGGTATTTATAAATATTAGATCCTCCAATCTTTGCATGAACCCATTTTGGATAATGATAATTTTTGTATTATTTTGAATCGAAATGTCCAGAATCACAACTGCGTTGAGCACAGTATGGCCTGATATAGCCGGGCAAACTATCGAGATAAACAATTCGGGGAAGTCAAGCATGAATCGCCCAAGTAATGAAAATGTGGCCCGCAACCATATTAAAGTTTTAGTAGAGGCCCTTGACTCCTTGCAAGTTAGACAACCCTGGATTATGATGTGGTTCTGATCCCATTTTCGGCAACGCTCTGTAATTTCGAAAACTGCAAAAAAATAAAATAACATTGCCAAACTACAATATTGATGCTAGAGAGTTTTACTTTCTCGCTATGGAGTAGAGAGAAAGTTATGTATCGCTGCGCGAGAAAACAGCGAATTGTTGGGTGTTATGAAGAACGTTTAAGAAAATGGTGCAGGCCTCATGGTCGTTTAAAACCTTGATTTTTCGAAAAATGCAAAAGTTCAAATTTTTTTAGTCTTCCAACAACTAAAATATTATAGATAGAGATATTTTCCCTTCATGAAATCTGTTCCTTAAAGATAGGTTTTGAAATCAGGTCATGTACAATTATTCGAAAAATTGGGTACTTTTCACGTAATTTTGTGTGAGTATGCGGGCTAGAAAGTACTTGGATTTAGTACCTCTTGCTTAATTAACGAAATGTGTTCTCCAAAATTAATATTTAAACAAATTTATGTTCATTTTTTTGATGAAAATATAAGCAGTTTCGCATAATTTTTGCTTCCGAAGCTGCAGATTCTAATATCCCGCACTTCTTTTCAGGATTGGATTAAGATGTGGGTGGCCCGGGGCCACACTTTGTGTGGAGGCCCATTGTTTCAAGGTGTTCAGAATGTAATGCAATGGAACGAAAACTAGTTTATTTACAAAATTGATTTTGTAAATATGAAACAAATGTCGAACGAATTGTTGGGATTTTTTTTTTCTTCTTAATTTCTTCCCTGTTCAGCAGATCATCCTTTTCAGGGAGTTGGGCTGGTAAATCTTATTAACATTCTGGATATTTTTAATCCTAATTTTTGTCATTTTCATTTTAGCTAAATGTAACCTTTGCTTGATGATGATTATACATGTAGTTTAATTATTTTGAATGTTTTTTGGGGGATTTTGTCTTAAATGGCTTTGAATGCATTCGTATTTAATTTTTTGTTCATAGACCTGAGTATACTTGCCTATGATCGTCGAAAATCGTCTTTAGGGAAACGGGGACGGGTTCTCATTCTTGAATTTGTGGCTTTGTCAAGGTGGAAAATATGGATGCAAGGTAGCAACTGTAGTTTGGAATAAAATGATTTATTTATTTTTGACAGAAATTCAGGGATTGGAGCAATTGGCAATACATGATGTATTTGGCTGTTGCTAATGAACCAAGGTGCTTTAATGATTTTCGTAAAAATTTGTTTTGAAGTATTTATAATAATTTGATGAGACACGATGCGGAGTTGTGCCATACAGAGCAGGCATATGTTAGTTTACGACAAATTATTGATTTAAATAATAATGGACTATTTTTAAGGACTCAGTTCTGATTTATAGTTGATTAGAGAGTTAAGTTTACTCATTTTAGCGTAAGCTTTATTTGATTGAGTAAATGGGTTTCCATGTTACTCTTTTATTTAATAGGACTCTGAGATATTTTACTGGTGTTCCGGAAGGGAGCCATTGGTTTGGTATTTTCTATTTTTAATTCTGGAGGTGTAGGTGATCTGCGAAGAGTAACAATTTTAAATTGAGACTATTGTGGGTTGATATTTATTCTCCAGGTTTTAGTCCAATTTGTGAATTTTTATATATCGGATTGTAGGTAATCATATGTTATATTAATGTCTTCGTCAGCTACAAAGAGGGCCGTGTCGTCTGCATAGAAAGCGATTTCTGAGTCTATCGGAGGAAGGAAATCTGCCATAAATATGATGAACAATAAGCACAAATCATGAGGAACCTCTGCTTTTATCGAATGTAATGGTGATAGTTCAGATTGTATTTTAACTTAGGAGGACCAGTCTCAAATGAAATTTTGGAAACATTGTTGTAAGTTTAGATTTTTTAGTCAAAAAAATAGTAAAACTGACTGTGACGTATGGGGGAGAAGATCATCAGCGCACGTTTTCTTGAGTTCCAGAATCCCTTCCTATAATTTTAACTGTAAATAGTTGACAGATGAGTAAAAGTTAAAGATCAATAGTTAAAAATAAATTTTGAAAAAGCGCGTAATTAGCAACGTTTGAAAAACTAGACATTTTCGTTCCCGAGTTATAGAAAACATATTTGCAACGGTAACGAACTGCAGCTTTGATTTTTCTGCATTGCCAACAAAATAGTATCTCGCTCTTACCTCTACTCCTACCACTACAAGTAAAAGGAGAGTTCAACAAAACGTGCGCATAGTGAAGCTACATTTACGCCCAGAAGCAAAACAAGGAGCCATTTCAGTATTTGCTCCATGGATCGGGGATACTAGACAAAAACCTGATTGAGATGGGGGCCATTGACCCGGAAGCTTAAGTACATTATTTATTACAACCATGTTAAGTGTTTTAGAAAAATTATTCAATATAAATCTAAAATAATTCATTATATGCCACTGTTTTGTTAAAATAAACATTATTTTTCTTTTTGATGATCAGTATAGTCTCTAATTGTATAGAAACAGTTGTGCAGCAGAAAATATTTTACTTTTAACTTAAATTTGAGTACTGACTTCAATTGTTTAATGACATCTGGCAATGCGTTGTGAAGTAACGTGCATGTATTGTATGTGGATTTCTGATAGTGATCTGTTGATACTTACACTGGATGAATGTGATTTCTACTATGTGAGTTGTAATCATAAATATTATTATTGCATGAAAATATGTTCCCAACGTTAACAACGTCACTTTTGCCAAATAATACAGATTTGTAAATAAATAGGCAATATAGCCACTCTAGCAGCGACGAGACGGGGCGTATGTGTATGCGCAACGAAACTCCCACATATTTTCCGACAGCCCAGCGCAGAACGCGCAAGCGATCGGGTATTATGATTTTGCGATCACGATGGGGGTTGATGGCGATGTGCCTTGTCACTACCCGAACTCGATTCCGATCACAATCCGGTAATGTCTCTTGTCGCAGCACGCCAGCAAAGAATGGGAACAACGCGCGACACTGAGTTATCAAGCTTTTGGGAGCAATTTGCTCGAGCAGAGACCGCTGGTGACAAACACGGATATAGAATCTGCGGTGAACTTGTTCACTGACACGGTTATGTTCGTATACAAAAAGGCCACGAAAGTGACGCGCGTGCCGGATTCTCCTCCCGAGATCACAGACGAGCAAAGATGGACACTGCAAGCGCTCAGCAGAGCAGTAAAGCTTCATCGCCGATTTGGTGATCCCGCAGACGGGGAGCGGCCGAGAGCGCTGAGCCGAGAATTCCGTGCGTCTCTGAGAGACGAGAGAAACGCTCGGTGGAAAAGTACAATATAAGAGGGCAATCTCCACGATAAACGCCTATGAGGCTTATCCAAAGCGCTGGAGCGGCAACCAGGAGTAAACCACCCCATTTATAAACCAACGCGGACATCCCAAGGCTCCCTGGCAAACCTCCTCCGGCACCGGTGTATGTGTGGGACGACGCTGCTAAAAGCGAAGTCTCTGTTGACTCGCCTTAGCCGGCCAAAGCGCCGGATTCATCCATGGGTTAAGTTAGAAATAAGTTAGTTAGTAAGCACTGCCCCCTTCTTTGCCGCATAAGCTAAAGAGCTGCGGTGCATGTATCTCCAACATGTCAATAAACTTCCCCCTCGCCAGGGCTACTGGTGGGGGGAAAGTTGAAATAGGCAATGCAATGGTAAGACTCCAATCTCAATGAAAAGAGCAAGAAGAGACTTGCAAGGATCACGTGGATGGCATTTTTTCATTCGAATTATTTTCTTTTGCAATCTAAATGTCTGGGTACTACATGATGAACTTCCCCAGAATATTATGCCATATCACAGGCGGGAATGCACATTAGCAAAATACACGCAACGAG